AACCATTTATGCTCTACAAGGAAAAAAATGAGGCAGATTTCAAACCAATGTCTGTCAACTACACTTCAGTTATCAAAAAAAAAAAAAAAAAAAAAAATTCGTATCCCTAACTGGTTTCTCAGAACTCTTTCTGGAAGCTAGTAAGGCTTGCTGATCTCCATCCCTAGTAATGGATAGGAGTAACATTTATTCATGTCCATAGAGCACATTATTAAACCGAAGGGGTAAATGCCTGGCTTTGATTTCTGAAGACTTGTTTCATTAGGCACAGAAATAATAATGCAGTTGTGAGCTTACAAGATCTCAAATACTGCCCAATAAATTTGCTGAGTGTCATTACTGAGTAAAGCTAATGGCCTCCAATTTGATTCTACACGGGCGAAGATTGCTGGGGAGTTCCCTAGCTTGTGCTGACAGTAACAAGAATTGAACAGAAAAATTCCATGCCTGTCAGCTGCTCTCAGGGATTGCACAGATTCTGTTTCTGCAATTAAAACCTTGCAATTATACCCAAATGCTCGTTAATTTTATAAACTCTGAGGAAGAGGGGAGCTGACAAAGTTTTAGATTAAAAGATATCTTTTTTTTTTTTTTTCCTGACAGAGAGAAGCAGCATGAGCAAGGCAGGTTCAGAGAGAGAGGGAGACACAGAACCCGAAGCAGCTTCCAGGATCTGAGCTAGCTGTCAGCACAAAGCCTGATGTGAGGCTCGAACCCACGATCCATGAGATCACGACCTGAGCCAAAGTCGGACGCTTAACCACCCAGGCACCCCTAAATTAAAGGATATCTTGTGAGCAAATACTTTTAACTTCTCAGATAAATCTTTGCACTGCTATTTGGTGCGGGGAGAGAAAAAGGCGAAGTGGCCCATTCATTCTCTCTTCCATTCCAAATGTGGGTGGGCTACGTGAATGACCTTATGATGTTCCCACTGCTGACAATTGTGAAATAATTCACAAGTAGGTCACCAAATTATCTCTATAAAAGTGAGGTATTTGTAATTTTAGGTCCTGTAACAAGCTTTTGTATTTTCCAAGAGATGTAAACCCTATCAAGGCTATTTGGCAATGACTCCCCAACACTCTTGGATTAGTTAAATGTGAAAAAAAAAAACAACATTTTCCTTTTAAAGCCATTCTTAACTCAAGGCCAAGTGTGGGACAAAGCATTTGTTAAAAGGGATGTGGGTGTTTTGCCTGCTCAAAGCCATGCTAGAAGCTCTTACTCCAAAATCGAAATGGAAAAGACAATAAGTCACAGGTTGACCACACACTCCTATTTTGTGGGTCCCCAGGGGACTCTGGGTGCAGAGCACTTCTGGCCCAGTGTTCTGGAATCAGACTGGAATTTCTTAGCTTTGCCATTGGCACCCTCTGTTGATAAATGCAAACATTCACTCCCTACTGGGAATGCTAGCAGGCAAATCATTTGTTTACCATTTCCCTCCCAGTTCGGTGTAGAAAATACTGAGATTATCTTAGTAGAACACAAACAGGGCTACAATTCTGGGGCTAGACAGCCCCTCAGGATGAGAGAATCCAGTCCCAATGGTAGTTTCTCTATTAATTCATTAAACACAGTTCAAGCCTTTTGTCCAGCTTGTGCATTTTTAATCTGGGGCAAAATTAATAATCTCTCAGAATCCAAGCACTTAGAAGCAGAATGCACTTGGCTGTGCTATCAGTCTTAGGCAAAGGGGTTAAATTCTAACATGGGAAAGGACATAATTGTGGTTTTTACATGCAGTTTGCATAATACAAAGGCTATGTAAATTCTCATTTGTGTTTTAAAATGTGGATATGTAAATATACATTTATGTATTGGTTTATGCATATAGCATGGTATGTACATTACCTTCTTGTGGAACTATATGCAAGAAACCTTATTATCCTTTCATAGAAGGACTAAAAGAACTTCACTCCCCATTTTATAGCTTTCTGTATTATTTGAATTTTACTACAGGCACTTATTACTTTAATTTTATTTTTTAAAAATAAATAATTCTTTAGATGAATATTTCAATGCTAGAATATTCAAATATTATGAGACATTTTCATTTTCTTTGAATAAAAATTTACTAATATTATCTAAAAGAATAAGAACGTGGGGCGCCTGGGTGGCTTAGTCGGTTAAGCGTCCGACTTTCACTTGGGTCATGATCTCACGGTTCGTGGGTTCGAGCCCCGCGTCGGGCTCTGTGCTGACTGCCAGCTCAGAGCCTGGAGCCTGTTTCAGTCTGTGACTCCCTCTCTCTCTGACCCTCCCCTGCTCACGCTGTCTCTCTCTCTCTCCTAGAAATAAATAAAACATTAAAAAAATAAAAATAAAAAATAAAAGAATAAGAACGGCTTCTAAAAATGTCTTAATAACCACATTAAAGGCCAAAGACAAAAGTATAAAAAGTACCAGAAATTTATACAAATTTCCAAAATTTTCTAAGAATAAATTATTTTAGTAATTCATGGAAAAAATAGGATTAGTAAACAATTTGAAAACTTTTACATTACGATTATATAATAATTCCTTTGAGAAAGAGTTCTCTCAAGAATCAGTTCTGAATAGGTCTCTTTAACACATGTTAATGATTAAAAAAAATCCACACAATGGAGAATGGATCTTTATGTCTATTAAGTAAATGAATCTTACTATTTTAGTACTTGATACAAAGTACAATTTCATCTTTTAAGGTGATCAGACATATTGTACACAGAGCTCCATTGTTTTCTACTTACTAGGAATCTGTATAAGAATACTTTTTGGTCGGGAAAAACACCTTTGGATTACAAAAGTCAGCTTGAGAGATGTTATATCAGTTCTGAGTTTTATACTTTGTGACCTCAAAATATTGCTGTTTATGGAAAACTACACCAAATATACAGCATGCTCTTGAGTTTGAGAAGCCCTCATGAAAATGTTAGTGCTACACAAATTGATATCTTAAATATATTCTTTTCTAATGAATTAAACATAAATGGGTACTTATTATTCATGTATTGATTTGACAAATATTTATCAAGAACCTATCATGTTCTATTAAAGGAGCTAAATGCTTGAATTAAAGATACAGAAAACAGTCCTTGCTCTCAATAAAATCACTATCCAGCTACTTTGCAGAAAGGAGGATATCATCTACTCAAGTACCTTCTCTTGTTGTCTACTTCAACTCTTTAAAGTTAGAAACAGAAACTAATACTAAAATCAGAAGAAAGATGATAATTCTTCCCTGTATCCTATATTCTTGAAATTAATTACAAGTCATCTTAGTAGTCATTATAATATAAAAGCCAAAGTAAAAGAGTCTATTGATAAATGGATAAAGAAGAGGTGGTGGTGGTGGTGGTGGTGGTGGTGGTGGTGGTGGTGGTGGTGTGTGTGTGTGTGTGTGTGTGTAATGGAATATTACTCAGCCATCAAAAAGAATGAAATCTTGCCATTTGCAATGAAGTGGATGGAGCTAGAATGTATTTTGCTAAGTGAAATAAGTCAAATCAGAAAAAGACAAATGCCATATGATTTCACTCATATGTGAAATTTAAGAAATAAAACAGATGAACATAGAGGAAGGAGGAGTGGGAAGGAAGAGAGGAAAACAAAACGTAAGAGACTCTCAACAACAGAGAACAAACTGAGGGATTATGGAGGGAGGAGGATAGGAGATGGGCTAGATGGGTGATGGGCATTAAGGAGGGCACTTGTGATGAGCACTGGGTGTTGTATGTAAGTAATGAATCACTGAATTCTAAACCTGAAACCAATATTACATATGTTAACTAAAATTTAAATTAAAAAAAAAACTAAAAGTCTAGTTAGTTCATCTGAGCAGTTATCTTAAAAATATACACTTACAAATAAGAAAAAGAAACTGAATGTTTCCAGAATATAATTCTATTCGGATATACATAAACACAACACAAGGTTCTCAGTGGTAGACAAGATTGCTATCGTCATTACTAGTCACATATAATCTTTTACCAAAATCCTTTGGCAACTTAGGAAGAATTCTTGAAAAGTAACATTCAACGGTGCATCATTTTAACATTAATGCAATATTATAAATGGTTTTTAAATCTTGATTTCTTAGCTCCTTTCCATGTGCAAAGCCTAACATTAAGCCACAGTAATCTGAAAAACAAAACAAAACAGGACCCAGGGATTAAGCTCCACATAGGCGACAGATCTAGGTTTTAATTCTTGCTGTCTGTTGTCTCTGAAATACATTTAAAAGTCAATTAATTTATAATGCCTTTAAAGCCAGTTAAAAGGATAACACCAATTGAAACCCTTCACGTAAGTGTAAAATCAACAACTGATTCAAAATGGCACCTGGAAAACGTGTGTGGAAATGCCTGATCATGCAACAGCACCAGACTGCACTCCTTTGACAAGGATTTTGTTAACACATGATACATAACCATGATAAAAAAGAGTCCATGGTAGTGGACAGACTTAAGGTGAGAAGGTAACTAGATGACACACTTTCCAAGGTTCCTACCGGCTTTAAATTCCACAATAGGAAAAAAAAAACAAAAAACAAAAACCACTAGATATAGTTTGCCCTGACATTGTTGCTCATTCTTACACCATCATAATTCTAACTGGGTAACTTGATTATCATGAGGTCCTAAAATTTGTTAACTCCTTTCTCCAGCCACCTACGCCTAAGGATTATACTTTCTTTCTAGGGTGTCATTTCCTAAACTGAATGGACCTATTGCCACAGTGAAGAAAACACCCTCACAGTCGCCAGTGATCATATACCCTAGTTGTTACTGGCTGTGGTTACTGTAGTCCTAAATGTATAACTATTCAAAGTGCCTGGGAAAACTCTTCACAGCTTAGCAGTTTAATGGAACAATGTAATCAAGAACATTTTAACCACACTCTTTGTATAAAACACATAGATGTTTACAGACACGATTGGTAGCCACACACTTCACTAAAATCTTCTCTTTATCACAACACACTGTACCCATTCAGCCTTCGGCTACCACACCCATCTACAGGGCTGCCGAAAGGTCCACAGCTTCTCCTGTTTCTTCTTCTTTTGTTCCAGTCCCATCACTTATGTTCTCATTCTCCATCTCTGTTTCAACTTTTTCTCCTGTCTCACCTGGAAAAGTAACCAAAGTAGATATTAAGATATGCTCATTTAGTGTTGATAATAAAGTACCCGGCACCCGGTTTCCAATGGGGCAGTTTCTGCTCTTTAGGTCAAATTAATAAGTTTCTCTGTGGTGTCAAGAAAAGCAATTGTCCTGGGCGCCTGGGTGGCTCAGTCGACTAAGTGTCCAACTTTGGCTCAGGTCATGATCTCATGTTTCGTGGGTTCAAGCACCGAGTCGAGCTCTTTGCTGACAGCTCAAAGGCTGGAGCGAGCTTCAGATTCTGTGTTTCCTTCTCTCTCTACCTCTTCCCCACTCAGGCTCTGTCTCTCTGTCACTCTCTCTTTGAAAAAGAAATAAAAACATTTTTTAAAATGTAACTCTTAGTAAAAGAAAAAAAAAAAAAAGAAAAAGAAAGGCAATTGCCCTGATTCTCTCAGATCCTCTGAATGGCCGATGTCACTTAACATTTCCTATCTTGGCATCCTCCTACATAAAATCAGGCTGCAGAATTACACAAGAAATGACAGCAGAACATACTATAAATTAAAAGTTCCATTTAAGGTGCCTTGGTGGCTCAGCTGGTTAAGCATCTAAGTTTGGCTCAGGTCATGATCTCACAGCTCATGAGTTCGAGCCCTGTATCAGGCTCTGAGCTGTCAGCACAGAGCCTGGAACCTACTTCAGATTCTGTCTCTGTCGCTCTCTCTGCCCCTCCCCTGCTTGCACTCTGTCTCCCCTCCCCCCACCAAATATAAATAAACATTTTTTTTTAAAGTGTTAAAAAAGTTCCATTTATATCTAAATAAAAAGGTGGTCTAGGCATGCCCAGAAACCTATTTTGTTGGGCCATTATTGGGTTTAAAGAAAACAACTGCTAAACATTTAAAGATTGCAAACATTTAGGGGCACTTGGTTGGGTGGCTCAATTGGTTAAACCTCCGACTTCTGCTCAGGTCATGATCTCACGGTTTCTGAGTTCGAGCCCCATGTCCGGCTCTGTGCTGCAGCTCAAAGCCTGGAGCCTGCTTGGGATTCTATGTGTCCCCCTCTCTCTCTACCCTGCTCACACTCTCTCTGTCTCTGTCTCTCTCTCAAAAATAAACATTAAAGAAGAGATTTTTTAAAAAGGATTGCAAACATTTAAAAGTCTGGATGTTGTAGATACAAATCTGTCTCCCTAAGAAATCAGAATGGGCAACATTGACCCCAAGCCCGTGGACAGAGCCAAGAAGCAACTGCCTCTTTTGATGGGATGGCGCCCCCTGTTCACCACGGTCCCCAGGGTGCCCCATGGCATAACATGTGCCCCTTACTTCACTCACGGTCATTACCCTAGGCCCTAACGACTTGAGTTTGCTAACCCTAGTGCAAGTGCATGCTTTTACTTGTTCCTCCCTTGTTATTCCTGGAGCGCTTTTATACACCTCCATTAAAGCACTTACCTCAATAGATTGCAATCTATTTACATTCTGCCTTCGTCTCACTAGACTATGTGCACCTTGAGGACAGGGCCTATTTCCTGTACCCCTAGAACTTGGCATCTGAATAGCACTCAAAAACTGCTGGGGCAATAAATGAATTAAGAAACAGATAAATGAGTGCTTTATTTAATTAAAGTGTCGAATGAAACTAAAATTTACCAAAATGTAGATCATGCCCCAGAAGAAATGTTATTTTTTTAATTATAATTCTAATAAAGAACAGTATGGATGCCATTTGTTTTATGCTGGTAACGTACATTTTAAAAACACGTATTACCAGGACAAAATACATTTTCTCCAGTCTTCCCATGAAGACAAGAAGATTATAAGAGGACAGGAGCAGACGGACGTAATTTTCTAAGGATAAGATGGATAAGCTGGGCAAAGACGAAACTTACACTCTAAGATCCATTATGTGGGTATTCTTTCATTAGAAGGTTACTTCCCCCACTAACCACCTATTCATCTTTACTTTGGATCCTCATACCATACATGGGGCCTGATGAAAAGTGAACTTGGAAAAATTCAGAAATTTTAACACGTTGCCTTCAACATCCAATCGTATTCAGCAACGAAACTCCAGGTTAAACATTCTGGACACAGACTATGGTTTAGAAAATGTTTGTTAGAAGACTAAGAGCTTGTTTTGCAGGTATGGAAGTCTTTCTGGTTTGGGTAAAATGAAGTTCAACCACCTGAAAGGGACCCCCAGGGATGACCTCTTACACAGAACATCTAAACCACCTTGAATTTCGGACAACGTAACTTTTACCTTCAATGTGCTGGTCCTCTACATTAGTGTGAATGACCATTTCCATATCAGCTCCTGTTTCTAGGATTCCCGCCGGATGCTCCACGCTTCCAACTATTCCCTCTGGTTGAATCTGCTCCATGTTTCCCAGACCTTCAGGAGTTTTATGGAGCAAATCATTGTTTCCAGCTGTTTCCACAAACTGACTTTCCTCCAATACTTCCGGTGTTTCATCATTCTCTCTGGGAACTGTTTCTAGAAGTTGGGAGTGCTCATCTTTTCCCAACGCTTCTTGAAGTTGCCGCTCTTCAGCCATTTCCACAAACTGACCTCCTTCCAATGTTTCTGGACGTTCATTCTCCTTGGGAGCTGTTTCTGGGAGTTGGGTCTGTTCAGCCTTTCCCATTGCTTCTTGAGGTTGTGGCTCTCCAGCTGCTTCCTGAGGAGGGACTTTCTCAGCTGTTCGTATAGGGCTCATCTCTCTGGCAGTCTGTGGAGTCTCAGTAGCGTCCACTGCTCCAGGAGAGTCCCTCTCTCCTGTGATCTGCAACGGCTCATACTTGGTGTCTCTTCCTAAAGATTCGGTCTCAGCATTTCCTTTTAAAGACTGAGCCTCTGTCATGGCTTCTATGTCATTCTTCTCTTCTGCTCCGGGAGTATCATCTTTGCCACCTGGCTGAAGTGGCCCAGATTCCTCGGGTCCCTCCAAAGGCTGAGTGTCTGCTGTAGGTCCTGGGGGGTCTGCAGCATCGTTTGCCAGTGGCTGTTCCCAGAGGGATTTCACACCGTTAGCTCTAGACACAGCTGAAATCTTGAGCTTCTCTACTGGGGGAGGACTTTCCTTTTGTACCTTGACATGCAGAGCAGATGATTCTTTTCCCAGCATACGTGGTTTGGGTTGGGCCAAGCAGGACTCACTTTCTTCTGTGGTTGAAAAATAGATATTTAAAGTTACTTTTTGATCGTTCACTTGAAAATACATTGTTGGTTAGTTTCTATCCTCAGAAAGTATATCACTATCAAGAAGCAGGCTTAAGAGGGGCGCCTGGGTGGCTCAGTCGGTTAAGCGTCCGACTTCGGCTCAAGTCATGATCTCACAGTTTGTGGGTTCGAGCCCCGCATACGGCTCTGTGCTGACAGCTAGCTCAGAGCCTGGAGCCTGCTTCAGATTCTGTGTCTCCCTCTCTCGCTGACCCTCCCCTGCTCATGCTGTCTCTAGCTCTCTCTCAAAAATAAATAAAACATTTAAAAAAATTAAAAAAAAAAGTAGGCTTAAGAGAGTCCTGTGGTGGGGCGCCTGGGTAGCTCCATAGGTTAAGCCTCTGACTTTTGATTTCTGCTCAGGTCATGGTCTCAGGGTTCGTGAGATTGAGTCCTATATTTGACTCTGCGCTGACAGTGTGGAGCCGGCTTGGGATTCTCTCTCTCCCTTCTCTCTTTCTCTCTGCCCTTCCCTCCCCACAAAATAAATAAACTTAAAATAAGAGATAGTGAGAAAGAGTCTTGTGTGCAGTTGAGTAAAGAGAGGCCATACCATGACCCAAATATTCCCCAAGTCAAACTTCTTTACTGTGTTCATCTCTAACACCTGATCTTAAGCATTAAGGGGCTTCAGAACTACAGTATTTTCTTGTTTGCTCCTTAGATACCTTGCCATATTCTACACAAGCACATTTCATTTTGTTTTCTCTCATGTTCTTCCCCCTTCTCACCCTTTCTTCTTTAGCCTCAGTAGAAGAGTTCAGTGTATGGTTCTGGGCTGCTATAGAGGTCCTACTTTTTCCCAAAACAGAATGGGCCTCAGTGAAAGGAAAGGGCCCCATGACAGAGGAGCTCCACTAGGTAACGATCAAGGTGTCTGGGATGGAAAGTGGCAGGGACAGTTTAGCCTGCGTTTCGTTTCATTTGGGGGGCAGAAATCAAGAAAGAGTTAGGAACCATGTATTTTAATTCAAGCTCTTCCTCCAGCTTGGGCTTCCTCAGTGTGAGCTTGAGGACGTAGCTCCTAATTGTCACATCTGTAAAATGGCAGTGAGTCTCTCTCTACCTCAGCCCCAAAGCTGCACGAGGCATCAACATTAAAGTGAGAACACAAAAGCACCCTAGACAGTGAAGCAACTTGGCAACATGTTTATACTCTTTGACCCAGTAATCCTCCTTCTGGAAATTTATCCTAAAAGCATAAATGTCAGGAAAGTATATATATTTTTGATATGTACCTTTCATCTTGGTATTTTTTTTTAAGATTTCTTTTTTTAATTTTTTTTTTCCTGAGAGAGAGAGAGACAGCGTGAGCAAGGGAGGGTCAGAGAGAGAGGGAGACACAGACTCTGAAACAGCCTCCAGGCTCTGAGCTGGCTGTCAGCACAGAGCCTGATGAGGGGCTTGAACCCATGAACCGTGAGATCATGACCTGAGCCGAAGTCGGATGCTCAACCGACTGAGCCACCCAGGTGCCCCTTGGTATTTCTTTTTTTAAAAAATTTTAATGTTTATTTTTGAGAGAGAGGGAGAGACAGAGCATGAGCAGGGGAGGAGCAGAGAGAGAGAGGGAGACACAAAATCTGAAGCAGGCTCCAGGCTCTGAGCTGTCAGCACAGAGCCTGATGCAATGCTCAAACTCACGAACTATGAGATCATGACTTGAGCTGAAGTCAGGCACTCAACTGACTGAGCTACCCACCCAGGTGCCCCTCAGTATTCTTTATAATAGCAAAAATTGGAAAACAACTTAAAAGTCTAATAATTTGGGGAAAAATATTTGCCTGGATAGAATATTATTGCATTGTGAAAAAAGATGATTATGAAGGCCATATGCTAATATAAGAAAATATTTACAGGGTGCCTGGGTGGCTCAGTCGGTTGAACATGTGACTGTTGGTTTCAGCTCAGGTCATGATCTCATGGTTTTGTGGGTTCAAGCTTCACATCTGGCTCAGTGCTGACAGCATGGAGCCTACTTGAGATTCTCTCTCTCTCTGCCCCTTCCCTTCTCACACTATCTCTGTCTCTCTCAAAAGAAATACATAAAGCTTTAAAAATATATTTATGATATAAGTTAAAATATTGGCATGCACGGTTGGGTTAATCAAATGAAATGATGCATGTAAAGTAGGTAGTAGCACAAGGTCTGCTGTGCACTTACGTGCTCAGTAAGTTAGCTATCAATTTTATATACAGTATGCTTACAGCAGTGTCGATGATTGGAAGGGAAAGAGGAAGGAAGAGAAAGTAAATCACAAAACCGAGAGAAAATAAACCAACATGTTAAAACGGGCCTCTAGGTGCTATACTTCTACCTTTTTTCCCACAAAGATTGTTTTTTTTCTTTTCTTTAAATCTTTTTTTCCTTAAGTTACTCCCCACCCCAGTTATATATGCATACATATATACTAAGTATCACTTATCACTAAGATGCATATCTTAGATCTGCATCTCAGATCTTCTCTCCCATTTCCCATTCTCTAGGGGCAAGTATTTTAATTCTTGATATTTTTCTTCTATATCTCAAAGCAAATTGCTACTTCATGATTTTTCAATTTGGGCTTTTCAACTCCCACTGTGGAAAATAAAGTCTTCAGTTCCTTCTTCTCCCACCTCTCCCACCCCCACCCTCTCCCATGACACATGACATTTCCTTTCAATTCAGCAACTGTATATTCACAGTCATTTAAAATAGTAGTCATGCTGTAATTCGGGTAAATCAATATTCAAGTGCATGTCCATAGAACGAGTATGTCTGCTGGGAAGAACTGAGCCAAACAGTAAGCTATTACTTTGTGTAAATTTCTTTTTATATTTCCCTGAAATAATAATTTTCATTGTCTTCCCTTCCCTAGTGTATGTGTTATCATTAATCCAACTCACTGCCAATTGTTTCTCTTCTTAATACATGTATTCACACCAAATCATTTCCCATCCCGCTTCCGGGGATGGGTATGAAGCCCTGGATGGAGGGTAATTCAAGCTGACACTCAGAGAAGCAGAGTTTGGGAAGGATGTGGGGAGATTCAGGGCCCTGGCTGTGGGCCCCCGGGGGTCACATGTCAGAATAGGGAGAAGGCCTATCCTTCGCCTCTTCCTCAGTCCTCATCATGAAGAAACTTTTCAAATTCATAGCACTTAAGGCAACTTAATAAAAGTGATTTCTCAGGCCTACAAAAACATTCATTATGACAAGACAATTCATTTAGATCACAGAACGGATGTTCTGGTGACGGATGTCTAAGGAAATTAACAAGGTCATGTGTTAACATACTAATCACAGATGTCTGCCAAATTATATTTTCTGGTAAAATAGTTATTACGGTGATTACTACTGTCAGTTAAATGAGACAAGCAACTTTCATCCAACTGTGCCAGCTGTGCGTGCATTCTAAAGGCATCATCCTTCTAGAGCAGAAAGCCACGGGGAGGGTTGGGGGGGGGGGCGTGGAATAAGTAAGCGCACCCAAAACAAAGTCACTCAATTTTATATTTTGAAAAACATATTATACTATCAGATTAAGTCAAGTTTTTTCCCCAAAACCAAAGGTTTTATAAAAAGTTATTTATCCACGAATAGTGTCACAAGTATCTAAGTGATCTATCAATTTTTGCCGTAACTAGAACATTTATGCCCACGAGCACAGTATCAATATTCATTCCTAGGTACTTTTCCTAATCTTGTTGATAGGCCTTGAAGTAGGCAAATGTCCTGAACATATATTGTTATTATATAACCTGTAAATAGTCAACCAAACTGGGAAGTATTACAGAAGAATGTCACTGTCTCTAATATTTTTCTAAGGTAGCTCAAAGGAGACAAAATATCTTAAAAATGATCACCAAATCTTGGGGCACTTGGGTGGTTCAGTCGGTTAAGCATCTGATTCTTGGTTTTGGCTCAGATCATGATTTCATGGTTCGTGAGTTCGAGCCCCATGTCAGGGTCCGTGCTGGTAGCGCAGAGCCTGCTTGGGATTCTCTCTCTGTGCCTCCCCTGCTCTCTCTCTCTCTAAAAATAAAATTAAAAAATATTAAAATAAATAAATAAAATAAAATGATCACCAAATCCTTTTTTTTTTTTTTTTTTAATCACCAAATCTTAACTATAGAGAACAGAGGATACTGGAGGGGAGGTGGGTGGGGGATGGGCTAGATGGGTGATGGGTACTAAGGAGGGCAGTTTTCTGTGATGAGCACTGGGTGTTGTGTGGAAGTAATGAATCACTCAGTTCTACACCTGAAACTATAATATTGCACTGTCTGTTAACTAACTGGATTTAAATAAAAAATTAAAAATAAAATGATCACCAAAAAATAGAGAAAACGTTATAAGCTTAGTGACACATTCATTTTGTATTTATATTAATTAACTGCATTCTGCTTAAATTTTGAAATGAATGTATTTTGGAGATAATAATTTTTTTTTAATTTCTCCTCGTTTTAAATGTTTATTTACTTATTTTTGAGAGAGAGAATGAGGGAGGGGCAGAGAGAGAGGGAGACACAGAATCCAAATCCTGAGCTGTCAGCACAGAGCCCAACATGGGGCTGGAACCTGTGAATTATGAGATCATGACGTGAGCTGAAGTTGGACGTTTAATCGACTGAGCCAACCAGGTGCCCCTGGAGGTAATAGTTCTTTTTTCTATTTTGGGTAAATAGCCCAAAGGTTCTTTTTTCCTATGTGAGAGATGAGTGCAATCTGTTCTAAAAGACAGGACAGAGATCATATGACCTTGAAAACAACACCCATCATGTAGTGGGTTTGAGTCCTGATTCCTATACTTACTAGCCTGATAAAGCCTCTCTGTGCCTCAATGTCACCATCTGTAAAATGTGAACAGTATCAGCAGAGTGTTGTGAGGATTCCATGCATTACATTGCCAGTAGAAAGCACCCGCACAGTGACTGGCATCACTGAGTGACAGTCCATGCTA